TCACTGTAGGGACCTCATCCCACAGGCCGAGACTGGGTCAGGAAGAGGAGGAGCGGGGTCACCCCCACGGAGAGCAGCGGGGTCTGGGGTAAACTGCTCCTTCTGTCAGTCGACGGTGCAATGCAGCAGCTGTAGCGCTTGCCTGGGCAGCAGAGCTCCTCTTTCAATCAGACGTGGCCGGTTTGGAACCGAACACGCTTCCCATCCCTGGTGCCACCTTCGCCCTCATCCCGCAATGCTCTCGCCTGTAACATTGCCTGCCTTGGTCCCAGTTCCTCATCCCCCATCTCCCTCAGCCCAGCTGCTGGGCACTACTGGCCTGGCACACCCTTAGCTACCTCTGCCAAGCAGCCCCAAGCTTACCCCGGTCTACCCGACACGAGAGCGGAGCCCTGCCCGGAGCCTGCGGCCAGGAGACAGGCTCCTGTTGCTGAACCTGGTGCAGGGGCCTCCGGGAGCAGCCCAGGGCTGTCAGAGGGATCGTGCACTGTGAGGATGCCACGTGCCTGCAGCGGGAGGGCACCGTGCTCCTGCCACGGCTTCACCAAAAGCCACTTGCTGGTCCTGGCAGCACCTCTCTCTGCGAGGCCCCGGGACTGTCAGTGCACTGACCCTGCGCTCGGGGCACAGAGGCTGGGAGACGCCTGCCTGCAGCTGGTGCAGCCCCGGCAGCTGTGCTGCCGGCCCGAAGATGGGCTTTGCTGCCCATGGCATCCCCTTACTGGGGCCGTGCACACTGCCATAACTGCAGGGCCTGCCACGTGGATGTGCCTGGCCACGTGGGAGGCAATGCGGGGCGGAAGGAGGCAGCTTGGAGTCCTCACACTTCCAGGCCGTTCCCAAATCCCCTGCACCATCCTCCCCTGCAGCCTCTCCAGACCCCACAGACAAGCCACGTCCAGGCCTGGGCTCTGCCACCTCCTCTCTGCCTCCCAGACCTGCCCATTGCCCCCCTCGGTCCAAGCGAGACGGAGGGGAGCTGGTCGCATCACAGCCTCGAACGACTGCTGGCTCCAACCTGCTGCAGGCACAAACCGGGGCCCATCACCCCACAGACCCGCCGCCGGCCCACATCTCCCCCCAGGCCAGGAAGACTGTTTCCGAAAAGGAAACCCGACTTCTCCACGGTTCCCACAACCCCTCAGGGCTGCCCTGTGCCCGGGAATGGTGCCATCAGCATCACCCGTGTTCGCTGCCCGTGTCACCGCCTCCAGCACAAGCATGGGCAAAGCCGAAGCCGGGAGCACGCGCTGGATCCTTGCAGGCCAGTGCCAGCGCCAGCCTCCCACACCCCCGCGGCGCGCGGCACCTACTCGAGAACTTCTCCCAGGTGACGATGAAGCCGAAGGTAGGGAGCACCCTTCGCGCGGGGCCGTGCCAGGAGCCCTGCAGGAGCACCTGGTGGATGCAGTTGCTCGTGGCCGTCACGCCAGTGAGGTACCTGCCCGTGAGCTCTCGGTCCTTGCTCCGTTCGTGGATTTCCATCAGGGAGCCCAGCTCGTTCTGCCACAGCCCTGACAGCTGGCACTGGAGGGGCAGAAGTGGTCAGCTGGGGCGGTGCCTCACATGCAGCTCTGCAGGGGCTGACGCTGCTGGGCCCGGGGCAGGAGGCAAGCGCCAGGCGCCAGGGCCCCGGGGCAGCAGTGCTGTCCGCCCTCTGGCCCACGGGTTCCTGCTCTGCCAGGTGCAGAGGTGGCAAGGCCAGGGCTGGCCTGATGGGGAACGGGTGCTGCCCCGCGTCCATCTGAGACCTGCCCTGGCTCCCCCACCCCGGGGCTGCGGGCACTCCAGCCCAGCTCACACCTCTGTGGGGAGCCAGCATTGCTCCCCTTTTGCTGCATCCAGGAGCGGAGCAGCCTTAGCACCAGGGACCCGAGTCTGAGCTTCCTCAGGGCAGAATCCATGGGACGAAATGCAGCTGGAGGGGGTTGGCGCCTGCCTTGCTGCGCCTGTCCTCGTGACGATGGTGCCAGCGGCCCCATCCCCCTGGGGCTCAGAGGGTGCGTGTGGGGGGCACTGGCTGCCCGCCCCGGGAGACAGCGCACTGGAGGGGGCAGGACGTAGTGGCCTGGCCCTGCACCAGCCCTGGATGGCTCCCCTGCATCTTTCCAGTTCCCGTGCTGCGCCAGTACCTTTCTGTGTGCCGTGGTGCCGAGGGTCACCAACGCCAGGGCGAGGAGAGCCAGGCCGCTGTTCCCCATTGCACCCGGTGCCTGTGCCCGGGGCTCTGCACGCAGCCCGTCTAAATAGGGCTGAGACTGGCTGTAACCTGAGTGGGGCTGAGCCTGTGTTCCCCGCAGTTCTCAGAACTGACGGATGGTGTCGATGTCGCGATGGGTATTTGATACCTGCAGCTGGGGCGTGGGGAGAGGAAAGGGCCAGGAGACCCGGGCAGCGCTGCATGGAGTGTGGGCTCAGCGTCCCGTGTCAACAGCGAGAGGAAGGGGCTGCGCGCCCTGGAGCTGGTCCGGCTTCTCCCAGCTGCACAGCGAGACATCACCAAGCAAACCCCTGGCTTTCTGCTGCTCCTTGGACATCTGCAGCTACGACAAGGCTCTGGCCCTGCAGCCGTGGGCCACAGGTGGTTGGAGCGTGTGGCACCCCAGTACTAGCTGGTGCGCCCAAGCTGGGGTCACACCTCTCATGTGCCTGTGACAGGAGGGCTGTGGCCCCTTGTGCCCGGCTTGGTGAGGGCACACGGCCTCCCTGCTCCCTGGCAGCTGCCCATGCTGTGGGGGTGGAACAGACCAGCCCCCAGGCCCCTTCCCACAGGTGCCATGGCCCTGCCCGCGCTGGGCTACATCCTTACATTCAGGTGGGTTTCATGCTGCTGCAGCCCAAGGGTCCATAGCCCCTTGACTCAGCGCAGGCAAGCTGCCTTGTCCTGGCCCCCAGGAAGGGTGCAGAGGCCCTGAGCCCCCCACCCCAGGGACCCACCCAGCAAACACTGGCATTACTCCAGCACGTCTCCACTGCAATCTCGCGGCCACTTCTGTACCTGCCCCCTGACGTGGCGTGCCTCGGGGAGGGGGCCGCGGCTGCACTGACCTGCCTCCCATACCATCACTGACTTCCTTGCTGGCCGGCCGAGGCCTCTTCTTGCCCAGCACAGCCACCAGGACAGTGCTGGGACAGAAGCCCCTGCAAAGGCAAAGGGCCCCTTTAAGGTTGCAGAGATGGAGCCAGGCAAAGGAAGAGCCCTGGGAAGGGGCTAGCGGCTGGCAGAGACGCGCAGGAGGCAGCAAGGATGCCCCAAGGCTTTCCTAGCAGGGCTGGGTGCCCTCGGCTGCTGCGACGGGTGCTTCAAGAGCCACGGAGGCTGAGTGAGGTCCCCAAGGCCTGGAAAGAGGGAAATGTTATGCCCAGCTTCAAGAAAGGGAAAGACGCGGGATCCGGGGAACCGCAGGCCAGGCACTCTGATCCTGAGAGCCACAAGAAGCTACAGTAAGTACCAGGAAACCTGGAGGAGAGCAAGGTGGTGGGAGCAGCCGGCGCGGATTCACCCAGAGCAAGGCATGGCTGATTTCCCGCTACGACAAGCTGTGGGGTCTCTGGGCAGGGGACGTGGTGCACCTCGACTTCAGAAAGGCCCCTGACCCCATCTCCCTGGACGCTCTCATCAGGCGGCTTAAGAAACAGGACATAGAAAGAGACTACCACTGAGTGGGTGCATGCCTGGGTGGATCAACGTGCTCAAAGCACAGTCATCAGTGGCTTTGTGTCAAGCCAAGAGCTCCCCAGGATCAGTCGTGGGTCTGATACTGTTTGCCATCCTCCCTGATGAGGGCGAGGATGGGATTAGGAAGGGGCAGAGCCCTGTGGCATTGTGGCTTCCACCTGGCAGGGTACAGCACCATTGACCCCCTTACCACGGGCGGACCGAGGGTTTTAAAAAGGGGGTGCAGACAGTGTGATGCATCCTCACGCGGAGCATGACGCACATTTTTCTTCAGTTAAAGAGAGACTAGGAATGTCACTAGAAACGTCACTGATGGGGCCAGCTCTATGTTATTCAGCTTAATGTCAAAGCAAAAACAAGTGCCCCTTTACTGGAACGTGAACTAATGTGCTGGGTTATATATTTAGTTTACAAAACAAAAAATGGTCAAAATAGGCAAAAGAGATTGTGTCACTAGCCGTGGAGTCATTACAGTTAACATGCATCTCTCATTCAGATTAGGAAAACAAAGTCTAGCCTTCTGGAGTGTCTTGACAGGGCCTCCAGTACTTCCCCATCAGTCATTTCTATACCTGAGCTCCTATGACCACACCTGAAATCAGGTTTTTCGCTAGAGCTAAACCGACCTGACGTAGAAAAGCAGCATTACCAGGAAGAGCAAGGAGACCCAGCACGGCGAGTCCAGACACTGGCACGTCAAGGTCCTGACAGATGAGAGAGGGTCGCGAACACCGGTGCAATGAAGAGCCCTTAGCAAGGACCAGGCAGATGACAGCGAGCCATGAGGTCAGCCCGTGTGGTGCTGCCTGCTGTGCAAAGTCGTGGTCCATCCCAGGCGGGTGGGGTTCAAGTGTGGGTGGAGAAGGGTGCGACTGCACCGCTGCCCCGGATCTGCCCAGCCCATCGCCCGCCAGCACAGGAAGACACTGGTGGCTTTGCACCAGGCTCTGCACCAGCTACCTGCGTCCCTCGCACAAACGCCGCCTTCTACCAAACAGCCCCTTGGGGAGACAACCCCCGGGTGCCCGGACAGGCACTTGAGAGTGCTGGCAAGGCTGGGAGGTGAGCGCAGGCCAGGGGGTCGGCAAGCAGGGAGCCCAGTGCTTCGTGCAGTGCTAGGTTATATATTTGGGCCACAGCTGCATGAGGCCTGCTGGGAGCCTGGCTGGGACGGCACCCCGTGAAGCTGGGGGCAGACCTAGGTCTTACCCCGCTGCTGGAGGTGGCAGTGCAAACAGCAGGTGCCCTCGGGGCTGGGATCAGGTCCACCAAGGCCAACCCCCACGGGAGCTGGGGGCAGGCTGACACGGGTGGGCAGGACAGGGCCGGGCGTCCGGGGGTATCGGATGGCCTCGGGCACAGCGCGTGCTCCAGCAGGGCTCTAACGTTACGGCCTGGCCACCTCATCCGCTCCAGATCGGGTCATGGTGCCCTGCCGGGGGCCTGAGGCACCGTCCCGGGGGCTCGCAGCCCAGTCCCCACAAGCACTTGTTTGCACATGTGACCCCTGGATCCAGTGAGCCCCTGCGAGCTCCTCCCTGGGTGGCATTTGCATCCGGTTCAGCCCGGCCCGTCTGCTCAGCCCCAGAGAGGCAGCATGTTCCCCTGGGACGGACCCCGGGTCACCGCATCCCGCCAAGCACAGACCGGGAGGCGCTGGCTTGTGCTGTTGGTCTGTGCTTTACAGGTGGGTGAAGCCTGGTCCGTCTGCTCAGAGCCTTTCCTGTGTCCCTGCTGACGCTGCCAGGACAGGGATAACCCGAGCCAGACAGACCCATGCGGGCAGACGTGCCACGTCACGGGGTCACACACAGCTGCAAGGCTCAGTACGAGGAGCCCCAGGATTCCCGGTGTGGCACAGGGAAACGGGGGGAGGCAGGCACTGCCAGCGTCCTGCTACGGCGCGGACAGGGCAGCGGGGTAGCCTGTGCGCAGGTCATCCAAGGAGAGGCCCCTGCCCGTGCTGCTCTGCCCCAGTCTGTGCTAATCTGATCTAGGGGGCATGTTCTCTCTGGCCCCAGTGTGGCACTGGGTCTGACCCTGAAGGCACCACTCAGACCCTATAGCCAGGAGTCTCTGCGTTTTCCAAGAACCAGTAGGAGCAGCAGTGCCCCCGGTTACAAACCCAGCCTGAGCGTGGCCTTTCAAGGACTGCAAAGCCTCCGGCCCAGGCGCCGGCAGCATTCACCAGGGGAAGAGATTCACTCCTGGCCCTGAAAGGCAGCCCGAACGCACCCTGACAGCCAGACCCTGTACACAGTGTCTTTTATTTCACAGCTGTGCTGTTTATCCCTTCTCCAGTCTGGGTCGCTCTGGCCGTGTCTACACGAGATGCTGATTGCGCAGTTGCTACTGCACAGTCGTGTAGTACTTGCACGAGCAAGTTCCTGCACAGGGGACTCCCTGCACAGCTTCCTGGTGATGCCGGCTGCACAACAGCTCGTTATTACTGTGCAGTAGCGTTGTGTCACGGTTCGTGCCCCGCAACGCTACCGCGCAGTAGTAGCGACCTATTGCGCAGTAAGCACCTTGTGTAGATGCAGCCTCTGTGTCTTGAAACAGAAGACAATATTGTGGGCACAAGACCAGACTGCAGTGACGAACCGTGGCCCGGAGGCCAGTGCTTGCATTTGCGCTCCCCACATCCTTCTCGTAGCAATACTTAAAGTCACGTCACCTGATAAGAACTCCAAAGGACCTGGCCAGCACCCCCGAAGCTGGCACCTGGGGGCCATGGCCCCCTCCCACGCCCCATCCGTCCACCTCTGCCAGACTGTCCCAGTGCAAAGGCCCATCTAGAAGGGCAGCAAGAGACTAAACAGGAACCTTCTCAATGACGCCAAGCTTCAAACCTATCAGATAACTAAACATTTCATTCATGTTATTTGTCAAAGGGCATGGCTATACTTTGAAGGGTCTCTGTTGATTTAACAGAATTCTTTTGAAAAAAATGAGCTTCCCAAATGTGGATAATAGGTGAAATAGCTTCCTTTAAGCACACAATAAAGAACAACTTAAAATAAAATAAAATAAAATAAAAAGCACCTTTGCTTTAATCTCATGAAGTTCAAGAAGGACAAATGCAAAGTCCTCAACTTAGGACGAGCAGTCTTATGCACTGGTGCAGGCTGGGGCTGACTGGCTGGGCAGCAGCTCTGCAGAAAAGGTCCTGGGGGTTACTAAGCTGAACACGAGCCAGCCGTGTGCCCTTGTTGCACGAACGGCGTGTGCTCCCGGTGGCTGGGGGGGCACAGAGGCGATGGGAGCACGGCAGCGGGAGCAGCAGGAGCGCAGCAGCAGTAAGCGGGGGAGCTCCGGCAGACGGCACCGGTGCTGTCGGTGGGGGGCGGGGGGGAGCAAGTGCCAACCGGGGGGTGGTGACCACCCACATCCGCCGGGCGCAAC